CGTCGTGTCCCCCTCCCCCCCCCCCCCCCCCCTTGTCCTCCCAGTCGAGCTCGACTCGTGTCGGAGCGGGCGTCATGTGAGGCCTCTATCTCTCGTGACACGCACCTCACGACTTTGTGTGTGTTTTGTCCTTTTTCCTACCGCCAAGATGACGCCGCGGTTCTTGGCCTGTCTCTGTACGCCTAGCAAACCTCGTTCTTATCTTGTAATAGTTTTCCTTCACCGTGTGCGCGCGTACCCTAATCTGCCCCCGGCTGGCCCATCCCGCGGCAGATCCTAGACAGGGGCTAGAGGCTTCGTGGCTTGGCTAGCTTCGAAATGACTTCTCGGACCTCTCGGAAGTGTGGTCTCTCAATCTAACCATGTCGTTTTTTTTTCTATTCATTATGCCTGCCGCGTCGCAAGCATCCCGCGAGGAAGGTTGTGCGGGAGAGCGAGCCCCTCCGCATATCTCGCCTATCTCGCCTCTAGGCTGTTGCTCTCGCTCGACACACGCCCCTCCTTGGCCGGGTGCGTCTAGCGACTAGTAGCCTTCTATCTACATGACTGCACAGACGGACAGACAGCCAACCCATCTACGTTACCAATGCACATGGACGCGGGTCAGCTGGCAGCCAACCTCTCACAGTCACTGCACGCTGCCGGCTCGGCCAATCTGTAGTATCTCGCCCGTGTGCCTATCGTCACTCCTCAGCACTGGCCACGATGCGACATCGGCCTTGGCGAGTGACACCTCGAGCTTGGTGCCAAGTATCTTGAAGGTGCACTTGTCTGGGCTGATGGGCGCAAAGAGCGGCACCTCGGTGCGATAGCGCGTCGCCGCCGCGGTTGGTAGGTCGAGCAGTATCGACTGTGTCTCGAACGAAACCTTGGCGTGATCCTTGTCGATCTTCTTGAGGAAGAAGGACGCGATCACGGTGGTTGCTGTTTGGTAATAGTCGTGCCTAGAAGCAGTGCATGCAAAACACGTCAGCGGTCAGCCCGTGAAATCGGGCCGCGAGCGCAGATTGGAGCCTCTTGGCCGTGTTCCGTTCCTCTGCTGCATCGGCCGCTTACCTCACCGAGCCAGGTTCTAGAAGCTCCTCGCCGCCCTCCTGACCGCCTGCCGCACCGCCGCCGCCGTTGGCGCCCGCCTTGCCTTTCTTCTTTCCGCTGCCGATAAAGAGGTGGCGGTCCTTTGTCTCACAGCCCTCAATCTTCATAAACTGGTCGAACTCGAGCACGCGGCGCTTGCAGCAGCTATACCCTTTGCTACCCTCGTGGAAAATGGGGGCGCCCGGGTGGTGGACGCACTTTTCGCCGTCCCGGGAGCCGACCTTGGAGTAGGTGGCACCGCAGGCCTTCCGCCGGCAAGTCTTGCCGTCGGGGATCTCGAGCGAGGGGTCGTCATCCTCTGACTCTGGTGGCGGCGGTGGGGGAGCAGGGGTGGCCTCGGGGGCCGAGGCGACGGGGAGTCGGGGTGGGATCGGGGCCGTAGAGGGGACAGGGGCGTCGGCGTCGGCTGGGGTCTCCTTCTTCTCGATCTTAGGCGGCAGATCCGTGGTGGAGTGGCGGCCGTCGGTGCAGGGAGGGATCGACAAGAACTCCTCAAAGGTCAAGACGCGTGGCTTGCAGCATTTCCACCCTGCCAGTTTGGTGCGAGGTTAGCTCCTGGGAAAAATGACTGATCCCGCTAAAGCAATTCGCCCCGCAAACCTGCCTTTTTGGCCCTCGTGAAAGACGGGCGGCCCGGGGTGGTACACGCAACCATCCTCCTCGCCCTCGTTGTAGGACTTGCCGCAGCTCTGGTGAACACACGTTTGCGCCATGGTGGTGGCGAGAATCAATCGAGACGGCTGGTGCAAAAAAAAAAAAAAA